GCTGCTGGTTATAATGGTAGTAGCAAATAATTTTGTTTTCGTTGTTTCTTTCAGCTTGAAGATGATATAGTTGAACAATGTCTTCAGAGCTGTTGATATAAGATGTCAACTCCACTTAGATAGACATGATATACAGTTATATAACTGTGTACATATATCATAAATCATGTTTTGTTGTTTTATTTTGAATCTATATTTAACAAGAAAATGCAAAGTATTAGGTAATATTTATGCATGATATGTTGGTTAAAATTGTATACTGATCTTGGACAATTATTTTTGCTAAAGCTTGGCGCAAGTGTCTTCATTGATAAATATATTAGAAATACAGAATATTGTGTATTTATTAGTTATGTCCTGTACTCCATTTGCCATAATAATTAGTTATTAGAATCATTAAGTGTTACATATACATATACATATATAAGAATTCCCACATGTGGGCAAATATTTATTGGCCAAACAATTACTTTTAGGCACAAAAGACCCATTTTGTCCGAAATCACCATGATGTGTCACTTCTTTAATACACATTTTGATGCATCATACATATTAGGTGAGTCAGTGCCCGTCAAGCATAAATATATTTGTTTACCATAATATTGATTATGGTTGAAAATAACCATTAATTGTTTGAAAACAATTGATTATTCGACCCATATTTGTCAAAACAAATAGAGATCGATGGTCAACCTAGTTATTCTATGTTATCAATATATCATATATTTTATGATTCCTTTCATTTTAAACACATATACACATAACAAATATTTTTAAAAACAAATTTGACTAAAAACCATTTCGAAAATTATTTATTTAAATTGACCTAAATTATCATTATCAAGTTATCATGAAAGTTCACACAATGCGATCTCAAATATACCACAAAATCAATTTTGAAGTCATGAATCACGAAGTGCACGCTCATTGATCATGTTTTAGATGTCGAAGCCGTTGATTTTTTTTATTCATATTTGAAAAAAACTAGTTTTTGGTTTACATTTTCTGTAAAGGGAAGTGATCATTTTGAGTGGGGTTTCGCAACTTCTCCATGTTTTATTCCATTTTAAATTACCCCTACATTGAAAATCCGTGACACCTGGCAGCCATTCATTTTATAAAATACATGGCACATAAAGTTAATATGATTATGCCAAAAAATCATTTCTCAATATTGACAACGACAACGGAAATTGAATTTTACCCATATTTTCAAATGCCCATTTGTCGAATTAAAATACAAAATACGTTATAAAAAATTACATTAGCTGCGGTACATAATACGACCATTTATTATTTATTTACAAATGTCTCCATGAACATATCACAATATGTGATGAATTCAACATTGTCGAGTGTATAGCGCACAAATCTAAATTGAAAATTGATATATTGAAATCAAAATTTCAATATTCAATGTGTATTGGTAGGACCCGATCTAGTTTCGACGTATACGCAAATGGGCCGACATATCCGGTGGCAGTAAAAAATATTGTGGGGCAACAACATTTCAAAATGGGTATTGGGGTAGAAGGCGTGTCACCTTTTCAGTTTATTGCTAGTAAATGCTTCACCTACAAATTTATTTCGTGGACGTAATGCGGAATAATTCTCCTGAATACAGCGGTACTGTATTTACATAATTTTTCTTTTTAGTTGGATATTGATACGACCTTCAATAGATTGTTCAATCCCTATGCAGACTAAATTAGTAACCGCGAGAATGTTTTATTCGTAATGTTGTGACATTGTATTCATTTTATTAGCAACAAAAGACAAT